AAAAAAAAAAAAAAAGAAAGGAAGGAAGAAAGAAAGAAGGAAGGAAGGAAGGAAGGAAGAAGAAAAAGAAAGAGAGAGAGAGAAAGAAAGAAAAACGCAGAGGGCCTGGTGGCTTGAGAAACACTCCAGATGCGTCTAGGTGCATGCTCAAAATCCTGAAAGAAAAACTGGAGGAGAAGGGATTGTGGCATGGCCATTCCCCATGGGGAGTGCTTTCTCACTTTCCTTTCCTCTTGGGTAAGTGCACATATCCTCTGGCAAATTTTTTTTTCTTTTTTTTTCTTTTAGAGAGGTTTTTGCTACAGGGCATGTGTGTTCGCCAGACAGACAGAGATAGAGAGACAGAAAGTGAGAAATCACCCCCCGGGGAGGAGGGCCACACCGCAATCCCTTCTCCATTCTCCTCTCAGGATCTTGGGTGCACACACACACACACACACACACACGCCTGGCATGAGTTTAAGTCTCCCAGTCCAGGACTCGAACCGCAGTTGACTACATGGGAATCCAGCAACATAGCCATTACGCTAACTGCTGGTCTCCTGGCAAAATATTTTTTAAAAAGAAGTAGAAGAAAAGGAAAAAGAAAATGCTGGGACCAGCAGTTGGCATAATGGCTATGTCACTAGACTCCCATGTAGCTGACCACAGTTCAAGTCCCGGACCCCGTGGCTTAAACTCACGCCAGGTGCGTGTGCGTGCGTGCCCAAGATCCTGAGAGGATAATGGGGGAGAAGGGGTTGCGGTGTGGCCATCCCCCCTGGGGATGCTGGCCACTTCCTGTCTCTCTCTGTCTCTCGCTGTCTTTCTGGCCAGCGCATGTGCCCTGTAGCCAAAAAAAACCACCCTCTCCCCCAACAACAACCAAAAAAAAAATGCTTAGACCTGAAACAAATTAACTGGACTCAAATCACTCAGCTGGCCATGTGGGATCCAGCTGCCTTAATCACCACGCCATGGGCTGGTCCAGCATTTCTTCTCTTTTTTTAATAGCCAGAGGACACGTGTGCTTCCCAGGAAGAGGCAGAGAGACAGAGACAGAAAGAGTGGGAGAAAGCGCCCCCTCGCCCCCTCGGTAGGGCATGGGCAGGCTACAATCCCTTCTCCATTTCTCCATTCTGTGCCCCGGTAGCTTGAAAACTATGATGGACACATGGACTGGGATTTCAAACCGCAGTCTGCTGCGCGGGACACAGCTCTGTTAACCACTGGGCCACAAGAACGGCCCCAGGGGAGTGCATGTTTTGAAAGATTTTTGCCATAGGGAGCATGTGCTCCCGGAGAGAGACAGAGCGAGAGACGGAGCGGGAATGTGAGAAATCAGCCCCCGGGGGATGGCCACGCTGAAATCCCTTCTCCTTTCTCCCTGCTGGGACCTTGGACGCACATGCACATATGTTTGGCATGTTTCTTAAGCCACCAGGTGCAGGACTCTAACCACAGAGTCACGTGGGAGCCAGCGCCTTCGCCTCCACGCCACCTGCTGGCCCCCAAGGCATTTTTATAATTTCCAAAAGGTTCTGGAGATCCAGTAGACGCACAGGGACAGAGAAGATGGACGAGCAGTTCGTGGAGTGAGCACGCAGGCTGGGATTGACGAGAGGCTCGGTCTCACAGGCCAGGAGAATAAAATAACCACAAAAGTGCCATGTGCCCAGCAGAAAGTGGCAAAGGCCGGGCGTTGGTGAGCACAACGGGCTCCAGGGAGGCTACACACACGCCTCCGGAGTGGACCGCGTCATACTCGTGGGCAGCAAACTGCTAAGTGTGTGCGTGCCTGCGTCCCCCTGGGGGCCGAGAAACACGGGAAGACGGACTTCATGTTCACTGCAGTGTGATCTGTAGGATGGGAGTTGGGAGCAACCCAGGGACCCATCATTAGGGGAGCAAAGCCATGAAATGTGGAACAGAAGAAAGGAGCGAGGTGCTCACACAGCAAACTTGAAGAGACTAAAAAATGCATGCTGAGGGATGGGACCAGCAGGTGGCATGGGGGTTAAGGCGCCAGACACTCCCGCATGGCTGACCATGGTTCGAGTCCCGGACCTGATGGCTTGCTTTCTCACTTCCCCTCTCTCTCTTTGCGTGTATTTCTCTCTAGCAGATTAAAAATAAATGAATGGATGAATAAAATTAAATAAATAATTCTTTTTTTAAAAAAATGCATGCAGGTGGTGTGATCGTTAGATCACTGGACTCCCACATAGTTGACCCTGGTTAGAGTTTCAAACCCAGTGGCTTAAACTCATGCCGGATGCGTTTGTGCATGTCCAAGATCCTGAGAGGAGAATGGAGGAGAAGGGATTGATGCGTGGCCGTCCCCCCTGGGGGGGGGTGATTTCTCGCTTTCTGTCTCTCTGTCTCTCTCTCCAGAAAGCACATGCACCCTATAGCAAAAATTTCTCCCTCCCCCAGAAAAAAGCACGCTGAGAGAAAAGTAAGAGCTAGGAGACAGTGCCGAGGCTGTAAAATGAAGACGGGGTGGGCAGGTGGGAGGATGTGGGAGAGAACGATGGACAAACAAGTGGGCCTGCGGAGCCAGCCCTGCGGTGGAGTCACTAAGCGCCGTGGACAGAAAACCAGGTCCCACGTGGCCAACTGCAGGAGAGATGCTGGCCCCAGGGCTAGAGAAACACTCTGGGCCCGTGTGATGCGTGGCCACCACAATCAAAAAAATGGGAGAAGGATTGCAGCGCGACCACACCCCAATGGGGGATGTTCTCTCTCTCCCTCTCCCTCTTGCGTCAACACAGAAAGGAATTCATGTAAATACGCAGAATAAGTTTTCTTTGTAAAATTTATTTATTTAATTTTATTTATTAATTCATTTATTTTATTTTGCCCAGAGGGAGACATAGAAAAGGAAAGTGAGAAAGCAAGTCACCGGGTCCAGGACTTGAACCATGGTCGGCTATATGCGCAGTGCCTTAACCACCACGCCACTTAATGGTCCCAAGTAGAATAGGTTTTGGAAATACGTTCCACAGCAAAGTAAAAAATGACACTGACAATTCAATACATACTCCCAAACCCAAACTGAGTAGAACAAATATTGAATGTACAATGTAATGTATGGTTCAATGACTGAAATGGGAGTATGTTAGGGCTGGCCCATGGCCTCCTGGTTAAGGGAGTCAGATCCCACATGGCCCACTGGGTTCAAATCCTGGTCCTGCTGGCTTGGGAAACAGGCTGGACGCACAGCCGTGCC